CTCATCTAAAGTTGTTCAGACAGTCTCCTTTTAATGCTTCAGCCTAAGTACAAGATGTGAAATCATCTTCCATTGTTAGTATGGGTAATCCGTGCCTTCTCTCTTTTTATCACAATCAATATAGCTACAGGTTTATCAGTTTCATCAATCTTATCAAAGAACCAACCAGCCTTTTGTTTCATTGATTTTCTCTGCTGATCTAGGCAGAAAATCAGAGGAGTCACTGGGCACACCTCATTGTTTCCCTTCTGTCTGGAATCTCCTTCCTTCACTTCCTGTTGTCTACTGTCTGAAAATACTAATTTTATGTATTTAGTGTCGTTTTCTCGTTGTTTAGAATAGAGGGACAAGTTCTGTGGGGATTATTCCTTCATGGGTGGAAGGTGAAAGTTAGGAGACTTTTGGCTGCAAGTAACAGGAAACCCTGTTCAACACTCTTCACTGTACGGGAAAGACATCCTCTCATGGAGTTAGGAGGTAGAGTGGTCTTCGTGTTAGTTTTTGGCTCAACCACGTTGTCAAGGCACAAGGTGCCTTCCATCTTTCTGCTCCACTGTGCTTGGTTGTTGGCCTTGAAACTTGGTTGGCTCCCTCTCATGAATGCGTGATGCCTGCAGTGGCCCAGAAGTCACAAACAGATGTAACAATGACCAGTAGAGGAAGAGGGACCTTTTCTTTTTCTATGACACTTTTTATCAGCAAGAAAACATGTCAGTAGCATTTAATGTGCATCAACCATGTAGAAATCAGTATGTTTTTATGTTGTGGCTTTTTTTTTCTTTCTCAATTTTTGGATGGTAAACCATTACTCAAATAAAATGTAGGGCCCATGTGGTTGTTGCATTCAAAGAAATTCAGTTCAGCATACAAATAAAATTAAAACTAATTCCAGATAAACCTTGAAGGCTATCTATTTAAAGGGTCAGTTTGTTACCAAGAGAAACCTGTCCCAAATCCTATCATTTCCCAACTCATTTCCTTCTCCATGTTATCTTTCTCACAGTTGACATGAAGTCTTTCTCTTCCACGTGTTACTCTCCCTTAATACCCAACTTTTCCCTATTCTCAACCTCCAGTTTTTTCTTCTTTGTTCCTTTCTTTCCTCCTTATTTTCCCCTTTTATGTAAATCCTTCATCCTGTTTTTAGAATGTCCCCAAACTGATCAATCTGATGTACACAATAGGGCACAGGAGAGTGTCTATGTGTGGCTTGAAGCAGGAGATGGGGAAAGGGTGAATGATCACAGGTAATTCGTTTTTGCTCCTTTTGCACTGATTTCTGTGTACAACTTTCCTTTTCATCTCCCCGGAGAGACCTGAAGAAATCTCTAGCTTTTCCTTGCCTTCACTGTGGTGTTTTGTAGATGTAAAAAATATTTTGAAGCCTTTAGAATTTAGACGGATTTGAGTTTGAGTAACAATTGTGCCACTTACTACCCCTTGTACTAGTTACTTAACCACTTTTTAAAACTTAAAATTGTTCCGTTTATCAAAGTAATATACTTACAGATTTTAAAATTCAAATAGTATTTCTAGATTTATAACAAAAAATAGCAATTGCCCACACCACGGATCCCCACTCCCAATTTCTTTTTCTACATTTAACTCTTAGCTATTTCTTTTGGAATTTACCCTCATATTTCTTAAAAAAGAGTTTCTAATGCTATGTTTTTCTTTTTCTGTTGTGTATATTGTTTATGACTTCCTCTAGAAGATGAGGATTTAACTCCTTCACTTGATTTCCTAGACACACATATGTTTATGAACACATATAAAATCACCTCCCCTTTTTCAAAAGGTCATAACATCCCTTGATTAAATTACTATTCAGTATTTACCCTGTTAAAATTAAGTAATCCTCATTTACATTTGAGGCATATACCATGGTTACATTTTCTTTCCTGTACATTTCTGTCTTTATTGGATTCAACAATTACCTAATTTATTTGCTTATTGCCTTTTCTATGTACCTTTTACTTATCATTGTCACCAAACTCTAAAGATATCCTTTTAAAATATTCAAATAGGTTTTCCATTGGTTTCACTTTTTCCTGGAAATATGTCTCCAGGAAGCCTCCTGCTCCAACCTAGACGGTCTCCAGCTTTTGTCCTGGGACTTCCTTCCTCTCCCTTCACTTAGATTCCTTGCTATCTGGGTCCTAAGTATTCCTTTCTTGACGTCTTAATTTTGGAGAAGAATTTCCTCCAGGAGATTTCTGAGATAAAGTATTTAGTAGATAATATTTATTTTTTATAATACATGCTGGGTTTTTTTTTTTTGGAGTAAGATTGGCCCTGAGCTAACATCTGTTGCCAATCTTCCTCTTTTTGCTTGAGGAGGATTGTTGCTGAGCCTACATCTGTGGCAAGCTTCCTCTATTTTGTATGTGGGATGCCTGCCACAGCATGGCTTGATGGGTAGTGTATATGTCTGCTGCCAGTATGCTAACCTGTGAACCCCAGGCCTCAGCAGGGGAGCGTACAAACTTAACCACTACACCACCTGGCTGGCCCGAGTAGATAATGTTTCTGAGCTGCATATCTGAAAATATCTTTATTCTACCTTCACATTTAATTAACATTTTGATTCAGAGTAGAATTTCATGTTAGAATTATTTTCTTCAGAATTTTAAAGTTAATGCTCCTTTGAATGTCAGCCTCAGGGATTCTATTGAGAATTTCCATGTCATTTTGCTTTCCAATCCCTTAAATGTGACCTTTCTATTTTTCCTCATGGAAACTTTTTAAGCTCTTTCCTTTATCGCTGAAGTTTTGTGATGAGGTGCCTTGCTGTGGATCTTTTTAGCTTTGTTGTGCTGGACATTTGGTGAGCCCTTTCAATATGAGAACGTGTCTTTAGATCTGGGAAGTTTTCTTGAATTATTTGAGTAATTGAGTAATTGAAATATTGAGTAATTTCCTCCTTTTTATTTTCTCTATTCTCTTTCCTGTAATTCCTATTTCTCAGATGTCAAATTTTTTAGATTAATCTGCTAATTTTCTTATGTTTTCTCTTTCTCCATCTCTTTTCCTTTGTATTGTTACCTGAGTATCATCAAATTTATCTTCTCTTTTATCAACTTTTAAATTTACTTCTTTTTTTAATTTTCAAGAGCTCTTTCTTATTTTCTGAATGTTCTTTTACATACTTTTCTCATTTTCTTTCAAGGGTGTAATACTATCTTCAGAGACTGCAAATAATAAAGATTTTATCTTTTCTTCTTCCTACTTTGTTTTTCCCTTTTTCTGTCTGTCTCCCTCAAATGTCTGTTGACCCTTGGTCATCTGTGTGTATTCAGGAGTGAGGCAGAATGCTTATTGGAAGCTCTGTGGAGTAGATGAGAACTGCCAAGTGCTAAGATTCCTGGAAGGCAATCAGAGGGGCTTCGGTTGCCTGCCTCCCTCCACCTCCACAATCCGGTCCAGTGTCTCCACTGTTATCTGTGACAGCCTCTTGCTCCTGAAGTCCACTGTCCCTGGTTCCTTCCTCCACCACCTGAATTTCTACCTCCATCTCTTTCCCAGGTTTTCTCCTTCTGCCTGAAAGTCGTTCCTCTTCTAATCCTGTCTCAGATTTTACCCTTCCTTCCAGGCTCAGTTCACACATTATCTCCTTGCCACAATGTGCATTCCTTCAGACTCGAGACCATTTCACATACTTCTTCGTGTCACCCTTTGGCACCTAACCAGTAATAGGTACCGAGTACTGCTTGTTGATTTTACTTAGAAAAAAAAATCAACAGGAGATGAAAGCCTTGTATGCTGAATGGAGAGATTCCTTCCTAAGTTGTTTAATACAAACAAATGGTGTGGCTTCAATTTGGTAATGCTTTCGGAGTGCTTCATCTGTCTAGAGCTTTGCAAGACTCTGAAGGAAGGATATTTGATCATTTTACTGAAGCCCTGACTGAAGCCTCTAGCTCCCTGGGGCTTACAACAGCCCTACTAATACATGTTGTATGTAAAGATAGGTTTTGAGATGCATTTACATAATTTGTTATGATTAATAATTGTTTGTCAATAATTTACTTAAAAAGCAAGTTAGATTGGTTTCAAGGTTATTCTGTCATCACACTTGTCTACCAAAATGTTCTCCTGGTCACAGAGAAAAGGGTGGTGTTGCAGCTAGAGGCTTGGGAACTGCAAGTGATCTGAAGCCTGCCTTCCCTCCGCGCCCACGGGAGCACGTCCCAAATGGGAAGTTTACCTATCTTAAAGCTGCTTTAGAAATAAGGTCCAGACAGTGGCTTACAAACAGAGTCCAAACTGCTTAACGTGAGACGAAGACCCTGCATGATCAGGGTCACTTGGTCAGTTTTGTCTGCCTCTGCCCCTCCTGCAGACGTTGCATGCACTGACATTCCTCTAAATCAGTATGCATCCTCACCCGTCCTTGCTTCTCCCTCGGCCCGGAACTCTCCCACTCCGTTCCAGACTGGCGAACCTGCCAGTTAAAAAGACCTGGGCTCAAGAGTACAGATGGTCCTCCCCAACATCACAGCATTAGCTACTAACAAATGGCTCCTATTTACTTAGTGTTGACCATGGGCCAAGCTGGGTCTGGGAAGGACCATTATGACCCCAACTTCACAGAGGAAGAAGCCAAGGGGACAGAGGTTCAGTAACTTGCCCAAGGTCCCAGGCTGTAAGCCCACGCCACTCTGCATTCCCATCCCCCTGCCATGCTCCAGATGGTGATGGGCGTGTTCGGATGCTAACAACAGCCTTTCGCTTAGCCGGGGCTGGACCAGCTGACAGTCTCCTAAGCCAGCCGGCATTGGCCACTACGAGTCCTTGCGCAGAACCCTGGCGTCAGACACAGCGGCCGACGACCCCACGTGCCGGCAGCACAGCACCTGCAGGTGACCCGGTTTCCGTGGCAACGGGCGCGGCGCCTGCGCACCTCGCACCCCCGGCGCCGGCATAGCCAGTTGGTCTCCTGCGCCTGCGCACCTCACTCCCCCTGAGACTCTTGGGCCCGGCAGCGCGTGCCTCGCCCCCGCGCGGGGGCGGTCCCTCGAGCGGAAGTGTCCGAGCGGAAGCGGAAGTGCGCGGGGCTAGAGCGGGCGGAGGGCAGGCTGCGCGTCTCCGGCGGTGCTGCGTATCTCTAGGTAGGGACGGGCCTCCGGGCCTGCGCGGCCGGGTGGCGCTAGCGGCTCTGTGCCCTCGCGGGTGCCCGCCGCCCCGCTCCCGGCGCCAGCCTCGCCGCCGCCCCCCGCCGCTCCTGTCACCTCAGCCCCTGACCCTCGACCCCGGCGCTGCGTCTGTCCCTCTGCTGTCGCCTCAGTCCCCAGCCCGGGTGCTGCTCCCTGGCCGTCTCCTGTCACCCCACGCCCCCGACTCCAGCGCTGCGCCCTGGCCCTCTCCTGTCATCTCTGTCCTCTGACCCCTGACCTTGGAGCTGCACCTGGCCCTCATGTCACGTCAGCCCCCGACCCCCGACACCGGTGCTGCGCCCTGGCCCTCTCCTGTCACCCCACCCTTGACCCCCGACCCCGGCGCTGCACCTGGCCCTCTCCTGTCCGCTCACGCCCCTGACCCCCGACCCGGCGCTGCACCTGGCCCTCTCCTGTCACCCCACCCTTGACCCCCGACCCTGGTGCTGCACCTGGCTCTCTCCTGTCCCCCCATGCCCCGACCCTCAACCCCAGTACTGCACCTGGCCCTCTCCTGTCCCCTCATGCCCCTGACCCCCGACTCCGGCGCTGCACCTGGCCCTCTCCTGTCACCCCACCCTTGACCCCTGACCCCAGTGCTGCACCTGGCCTTCTCCTGTCCCGTCATGCCCCTGACCCTGACGCTGCACCTGGCCCTCTCCTGTCACCCTACCCTTGACCCCCGACCCCGGTGCTGCACCTGGCCCCTCACACCCATGACCCCGACCCAGTGCTGCACCTGGCCCTCTCCTGTCCCCTCACACCCCTGACCCCCAACCCCAGCGCTGCACCTGGTCCTCTCCTGTCACCCTACCCTTGACCCCCGACCCCGGTGCTGCACCTGGCCCTCTCCTGTCCCCTCATGCCCCTGACCCCCGACCCCGTTGCTGTGCCTAGCCCCCTCCCCGTGTCGTGGGACCCGACCCTCCCTTGGGAGGCCTCTGTCTGTTGTCCTTGGCTTGGGCATGGCTGTACTGCTGCCTGCAGAGATGTCCTCTGACCCCCGCTCCGCCTCCCCGGTCCCCCTGGGCCCTGTCCGCGGCCGCACTGGCAGTGCGAGGTCTCAGCACGGGCAGGGGAAAGATGGACAGTAGGGGCTTGCCGCCCGCAGAGGACAGCAGGGGCTGAGCAATTGACTGTCTCCGTCAGCCAGGTTGGACCCGGCCGCAGGCGTCCACACAGGGGCAGGTCTATAGTGGGGTCTGAGCTCAGTTCTGTGCAAGGGGCAGTGGGGAGTTGTTGCGGCAGGAGGCCATTCGTGCTGCGGAGGGAGCAGCAGGTCCAGACGCGGGGTTTAGACCGTCTGATGTGCTCGGGACGTTAGACATGAAGTGGTGCCTGAGGGGATCTGGACAGGAGGCCAAGTGCTCGGGCCGCCGTGAGCAGGCGGTCTGCGCGGGTGGGGTCTGTGGTGCGATGACTGCAGTTCCTGTGGAGATGTGCGGCTTTCGGGACAGAGACGGTCAGCCCTGAAGACCTGGCCTCAGTCGTGGGGAGCATTTGGGGCCAGTCTGATGGGATAGGAGTGAGGTGGTGGCGCTTACAGCGATGTCCACGTTTCTGGCTGAGCATGAGCAGATGGCTCCGGGAGGGGGAAGCGGGAATGGGGAGCACCCTGCAGCAGCAGCTGCCTCAGCACTCACCCCACATGTACTCCGCTATCTGGTCTGCGGCTGCATACTGAGTACTGAGATACCTTCCTCAGTACCCCTGGGTCTGGTGTCATCATTCTGTTTTGTCTCTCCTCTGTGTCATTGCTGGATCGTGGCCTCCCATCTACACGTGCTCTTCGACCTGCCATGTTTGCACCTTGCTGTTAGGAGCGACCTGCTGTGCACCACCACAGCCTTCACATGCTGTCTGTGCCTTGATTTCCCGGTCGCCACCTGCCAGCTCTGAGCTCCGCTGTGGTGGCTTCTCCCCTGACCCCACCATTCCCTTTGTCTTCCTGCCTAGTTGTGTTCACGAAAAGCATCGACAACACCGTAGCTGTGTCAGGTCCTGCACTTCTCATCTGTCTGTACATACCATTTCTTGAGCACCTTACTTCCCACTTTCTCTGTGTGGTTTCTAACCACCTCATCTTTCAGGCACATGGAAATGTCTAGTCACTTCTGGCCTACTGTTTTCTCATCTAGAAGACTGCAGTAGGCAATGTCTGAAGTCGCTTGTGGTTTTCAGTGTTCTGAGGTTCTGCCCCATCCCTTAACCTGAATTGGGGTGTCATTTATGGGACAGATTTTGTATAAAGCTAAGGAAATTCAGGCTTCAGGGTTCCTCACTGTCACGAGCCCCTTCCAAGGCACTGAGAAGGACCTTTGAGGTCTTGTGTTTATAATTTTATATTCTTTTTTAAGAAAAGAGACCCACATTGTATAAGCTTCAGGCCCTGCACAACTCGAATCACTACAAAACTGGCTGTTTGTCACATCCTGCTGTCTTGGTATTTGTGCCCCTGTCCTTCAGACTTTCCCCTCTCCACCTTCTACTCTTTCTTGTGTGTGCTTGTTATTGGAGCTTCGAGAGAAAATATGAATGAATGGAGCTGATCAAATTCCTGCTGTAACCTGGCTTTAGTTTGCTCTCGTGTCAGGGAGATCTCAGAGACTGACAGCTCAGCACAGTGGGCAGACGCTTTGCAACAATGCATATGTTTGATTTATTCCGCTGCTGGGTTGCCACCTCCTTCAAGAGAAGGTTAATGGTAGAAGGAAAGTCCGTTTAATTGAAATCATAAAAGCAACTCTTATCTCCATGGAAAGTAAGATTGTACACTGGAAATTCATTCAGAGGGCTTAATTGCATCCTCTTTTTTAAATTAGTTTCAACCCTAATGCTATCAATTGTTTTTATAGAGCTTTAGAACAAGTATAAGTAACTTTTTATTTTAACTTGCTTTTAGACATCTGTTTCTTTGTAAGATATTCTACTGGGGAAATCTTCAGCGTTTTAAAACATGTTACTTAAGGTTTAAATTATTTATCTAAATATAAGAAGATATTTCTAAAGAATTTTATAGTAGTGCTGATGGTCCCCAACTTAGAATGATTCAATTTAAGATTTTTCAAATTTATGACGGTGCAAAAGTGATACGCATTCAGTAGAAACTACTTTGAATTTTGATCTTTTCCCAGGCTAGCGATATGTGGTAGGATACAACGATTCTGTGCCCATACAACCATTGTTTCTCATTTTCAGTACAGTATTCAATAAATGACATGAGATATTCAACACTTTATTATAAAATAGGCTTTGTATTAGATGATATTACCCAAATATAGGCTAATGTAAGCATTCTGAGGACATTTAAGGTAGGCTAGGCTAAGCTATGATGTTCAGTAGGTTAGGTGTTTTAAATGCATTTTTGACTCGATATTCTCAACTTATGATGGGTTTATCGGAACGTAACCTCATCATAAGTTGAGAAGGATCTGTAGTTTAAAATCCGCCAAATTGAGAGGTAAATCATTATCTTATTTTTACAAATAAGGAAATCAGTGATGTACAAAGAGATTAAATGATTTGCCTTCAGTCAGACAGTAAATCAGGGCCATTGCTGGCCAAAAAAGCCAGCTCCTGAGCACCCTTTTCTTTATAAACAAGTATTATTCACTAGGAAAGAATCCATTTAAGTCAGCTCTTATTGTAGAACATTTATAGTAACATGGACTGGTATATCTATGTAGCTGCACATATGCACATATATATGCTAGGTTCTATAAAAGTGTGCAGTGTAATACTGTTCCCATTAGTACTGTAGCCCAAAGAATTAACACAGTATGGATTCATGCAAATTATCGTAAAGTCATTTACAATAAAACCATTGTCAACTAGGAATGCCTAACCATTTCCAAGAGGAAAGTAATTCTTTTTGAACAGAATTTTCTAGATAATTTAGTTTTGGGTTTTTGCCCATTAAGCACCAAAATCTCCCATTTAGAATGGAAATCTTTGGAAAATATATTATTTCCTTGCTTTCTTAATGGAATGTGCTGAATGTGATACAGACTTTCCCTAATGATCCCAAGTGAACATTTTAAACATAATTTTTTATGTTGTGATTTAAACAGTGTTAGGGCTTGAGCTGTTTCCCCTATTATTTGTTTGAAGTTTTTATGTCTTTCAGCTTTTTAAAGTTTTTCTGCCCTCTTGCTTTCCACACATTAGCTGTCAGCAGTTCTTACCGCTGTCGTATGCCTGCCTCAAATACCCTTTCCATACCTGTGGGCTTAGGAGCTAATTGTCAGCACTGAAGAGAAAAACAGTCCATAGGTGATAAATCAGAGCCTGAGGAAGTCTCATGAATAAATTGTTTTAGCTTTAACCCATGAATTTCTTTATTTATACGGGATTCTTATGCTGAATTCTGGATAAATGAGGTGTACATTTTTATGGGTGCACGCATATTTTCCTCTTGTGTGTTCGGTGACTGTGGTTTTCACAGTGCTTTATTGGCCTTTAAGAGGTTCTGCAGAGCTGCAGTGGGCCAAGGGCCCAGCATTCTGTTGGGGCCCCTGTGATTGGGAAAGCCCTCAGGAAGGAGAGATCTCTGGGCTAAGGACATGCCCTACAGGGTAGTTCTGTAGTGAGTGATTGGATCACACTGAAGTGCAGCAGCAGCAGCGTTAGATAGGGTGTGGTGTGGCCTAGTGAAGGGAACATGGGCTTTGGAGGCATGGGGTTCAAATCCCAGCTTTATTGTTACTGTCTGTGACCTCAGGCAGGTGACTTCATGGAGCACACACTACTGGCTGCTGCCAGGCAACCAGCTCTTCCTTTGCTGGCAGAGCATGCCTTTTACAATAGAGTCTGAACAAAACTGATAATGTGCCAGTGGGACCAGAGGGGATATCTGCTATGGGGCTTATAGAATGAACTGCACATATTTAAAGTGTGCAACTTGATCTGTTTTGGCATATGTGTGCACACCCCCAGGCTTTCTTTTCTGATAGACC